GTGAGCATGATGGTAACGAAGAGGCCTTGCCCAGTCGAATATGGTCTTCCAAAATCATTCTCCCAGGATGAGCAAATTGGCCTTCCTGGGACCCCCATGAGGCCATGTCGAAAAAAGTGTTCTGGGCCTATTTCATGAACAAATTTTTTTGTGCGGGGACGAAATTTTATGGACACCGAGTGTCCAGGTAGAGGGGGGTACAGCTGAGTATAGACCTTAGCCAGGCCTTTGATTTGCTGCCTCGTTCCACCATGCGTGCGGCGCTCCTCTTCTGTGGAGCAACCAGCAACCTTGTTGATCTTATATTGCACATACGTTGCAAGAGCCGATACCATATCAGGCATGGACACCAGACAGCTTGCGCAAGTATGCACAGGGGGGTGCGACAGGGTTGCACTTTAGCTCCACTGCTGTTCTCAGCGTTTACGGCCTACTACCTGCGTCACCTGGGCCAGCGCGCCAACACTGAGTGGGTGCAGAGATGTGCAACGCTGTTTGCTGACGACTTGCGTCTCTCACGGGAGGTTGAGTCCGTTTCTGACTTAAGTGAAATGCAGAAAATGATACGGGTCACCTTCTCTTTGTTCAGCGAAATGGGCATGCGAGTTAACCCTGAGAAGTCCACTATTATATTTGGGCTGCGTGGCAGATCCTTCTCTTATGGCTCCGCAAAAGAGTCTTCAGCAAACAAAAGCAGCGGCGTGTGAACATGGGCACACCCAGCGAGCCCTTGGTCATTCCAGTGCAAGACAGGATGGTCTACTTAGGGGTGGTAGTGTCGTACTAGCAACACGAGCTGCAGACTCTTCAGCGTAGAATGAAAGTTGCCAACCTTCAGAAGCATCGACTGGTTAAGGTTTTACACTCCACTAGGGGCTCTCCCTTAAGCATAGGATAAGGGTCTATCTTGCTTGCGTCAGATCGACGACAAGCTCAGTAAGCTTGGCTTGGAGCCATGCGGCTGTGTGCACATCAACCCTTTCTATTGTGCCCTGTAGAAGTTTGTTCAGATAGTCATAAGAGCTAGTCACCCCTAATCTGGCAAGAAGTAGCTGGTTGCTCTCCCTGGTGATGTGCACCGGTGATCTGGCAAGGGCACGCAAGTGCCTCAGCTCGACGCTGGAGAGGCAAGCCGCCCCACGGGGTTGCATGCAGACCACACATGGCATGCCGGGCAGCGCTGACCCAACGCCCATAAATCCCAGAGCAGAACGTATTGCAGAGAA